ATAAGTATAAACAACATTTCTTACGGACTCTGTTATTCATTGTTTTATTTAAGTAATAAAACTATTAATTTTTATATATGCTGATAGTAATCAAGGACTTCTAAACTGGCATATCTACCTCTAGGACGATAACATGTTTCTAAAACGATGGTTTATTTTCTACTAATAGCACCTCTTTCAAGACCCCGCTTTTCTAAGAAAATACAGGATTTTCTTGAAGAACACTTTCAAATGGATTCAAAGAACATTTTCTTCACTAAACTAAATGCTTATGAAACTCACCAGCTTTAAGCTGATATTCTTTCAAAACTGCTTGTATTCTCAGGGACTTAGTAAACAGGTACTTCCAGGAGTTCGGAGAAGACGAAGCGTTAGAGTTGCGTCTGTCTATTTTACTTTTGATATGAATAAAACTATGTATTAAACAATGTAAACCTTTTTCACATATGTATTCAATGTCTGGTTGTGTTTACTATGCTTGCTATGAAACAATTGTTGTGATACTACGCATGATGTCCTCCACCCCGGAATGATTCCGCCATCACGGTTTCGGGGTGTGACAAATTCCACAGTCGCTCATACTTTTGGAAGTAAGTAGAGAATTAAGACTGTCATGAATTGGATTGTAGATTGTCTAAGGAGTTTAGACATAGCAATTGTGTTGCTACAATATTCATGAGTACTTAGAAAATGGAGATTTTGAGTATTGGATAAACCCACGCTCAGAGAATTACTTCATGGATTTTATCACGAGTAATTCTGAGATGATAATATCTTATACTCTTGAAATGAAGATATATGAGTTGTAATTTACAAATCGGTTATGCATTGGTATTGCGAAAACGCATCAGTAACGTGAGGTCATAAAACGTAGTGTCATGTATGATTTGGTGAGTAAGAGATACAACCATATGAGTCAAAATTTATTCGTTCCTTTTGCTCTAACAGGAAAAAGCAATATCTTTGGGTCCCTCGATGATTTGATGTCGACATCTGAAGTGCTTGGCCGAGCCCAGACTGAATTGATGTGTTCAATTAGTAGTCTGAATTCAGTCGTCATAAATCGGGAAATCGATAAACAAAATTTTGGACAATGAGATTGATTTCAGTTCATGTCTCATATTCATATGATATCTTGAAGAACGGAGAAATATTTGATCACTTATCAAAAAGACAAATATCTGATCGGATCAGAGTTCGACAGTTGCTTTGGAAAGCATTATTTGTTGTTTGATTTAGAAGTTATACCTGTAATTTAGTTTTAGACTTATCCAAGTGGGAGACTATTGGATTGGGTGTCTACGCTAATAACTAAATTAGTATAATCTTGAATTATTAGCAAAGTCATTTTGGGTTGCCCTCAAACCTAGTAATTGACTGAAATGTTTTTTGGAGAGAGAGATTGGTTTATTAATTTATTATATAGTTAATAAATTAACTAGAAATCAAAATAAATGATTTATTAATATATTATGAGAATAATATATTAATTAGAAATAGTATTATTTAATTAAAAATTAATCAGAAACTAATTGGAATTAATTTTGGGATTAATTAGATTAATTAAAAGTGAAAGGACTAAAGGTGACAATGTTCGAAAGTTAAACATTGACAAATTCTAGAACCTCCCAATGAGGGGGGACGAATTCTAGATGGTCTTTAAGGGTTTTCTTGGGCAATAAGGAAGCCTAGGAGTCCTTAGGGAGCAAGTAAAGGGGATCAATGTACTTCTAAGGTTCTTGATATTCAATTGTTGTTTGCAAATCATATTGAGAACATAGATCATTTAGGGTGCATGTGAATTAGGGTTTATGTTTTTCCGCCAAAAATAGTTTTTTGTAACATATAAAACCCAACAATATTCATATGTGAATATAAATTTATGTATATTCATGTATGAATACACCACCTCTCATCTCCTCTGCCACCTCCCCACTTCCATTTCCACCACCCACCCACCTTCGTCATCTCCACCACTTTTGCCACCGCCGTCATCACCAAAGTCGCCGCCATCACCACCACCACTACCCCCACTGTCACCGCTACCCCTGCCACTACCTCCGCCACCACCACCACCACCTTTGCCACCGTTGCCACCGCAACCGCCGCCACCACCACCACCATTGCGACCACCACCACCGCCACTACCAACAGCCATATTTATATATGAATTATCATTTATGAACAGACACATACTTATTCATATATTAATACAATTATTCATATATATTCATATATTAATATACATATTCATAAATGAATAAGTATATACTTATTCATATATGATTATATATTCATATATGAATAGGTATATACTTATTCATATATGAATAAAATCTGTTTCGTTCTCCCAGTACATTAGAGCGCTTAAGCGGCAAATTCAAAATGAGTGGTTCATATTCATTCTCTCATTCCTAACCTTGTTTTTTTTTTCAATTGAACCCTCATCTCTCTCTCTCTCTATCTCTCTCTCTCTCTCTCTCTCTCTCTCTATATATATATATATATATATATATATATATATATATATATACCTTGTTTCGCGAATAGACAAAATCAAGGTTCTAAATAGCGGGAGACGTGGGCTTGACGGCAAGGTCAAGTCTAAGCCATGGTGAGCATTGACAAGTCATGACGTTTTTTTAAGACGTGACAATTTTATATATATTAAAAATGATAAATCAGATAATTATAAAATTATATCAAATATATTAAGTTTTTACAAGTGTTATATGATCATTTAATATAAAAAAAAGTTAACAAAAACTTTATTGTTTTAGGCCCAATAAAAAAAACAAAAAAATAAAAATAAAAAAAAATAATTGTGCCTTGAAAAAAAATCGCGTCATAACGCGATAAGGCGTCACTTGACACGTTAGTTGGACGGCACGCTTAACAACCTCATCTTTGACGTTTTTATAAGAGCTACACCACGTATCGCATCATATCACGCATTGACACGCTTTTTAGAACCATGGACAAAATTCCTCCGACTAATCCGATAACTAAAGAATCAGTGTTTAATAATTTAATAAGAAAGGAACTACAAGAAATGCAACTTTTAATCCAGACCTTCATTTTTAGAATCCATCGACCCACAAACGTTTTCACATTCTCACGTTCACATCATATTTATTTTTAATATAGACCTGCTCATTTGTAATAGAGAAAACTTCAAAAATGGTCTCTGTGATTTTCGAAAATATCAAGTTTAATCCCTAAGTTCAAAAAACCTCACGGATCGTCCTTGTGGTTTCAAAACTTTTAACAAATGGTCCTTTTCGTTAACTCCGTTAGATTTTGGCCGTTAAGTGAAGGGCATTTCGGTCATTTCACTACTACAGGGACCATTTATGAAGTTTTGCCTCATTTAAAAAAAAGAAAAATATATATAATTATTTAATATAAAGAGGGCCCACCCACTTCTCTCTCTCTCTCTCTCTCTCTCTCCTGATTGGTCTTCCTTCCTTGAAATCGCAACCCTCATTCCCGATTCTCAATCCCAACAGAACACAAATCAATAATCAACAAACCAAACCAATCTATCACCAATAAATTGCTTATCCCCTGAATCTACTCAGAAATCTGCAAACATACGAAGACATCTCCTTCTTATTGTAAAATTGGTTCTCAATCAAACTACCACATACTTGAGTTGGAAATTTGGTAGGCTTGATAGTCAGAACTCTTTGTCTGGTTGTCTTTGCATCAGCTCAGCTAGCGTCGGCGCCATTGAACCCTCATACTCGTTTTATGTAACATGTTTCTTCCCTAATCTGAATCCACCAACTGAAAAGGGTCTTTTACCCGATTAGAAAAGAGGAAAGAAGAAGAAAGCTTATGATGTTGCAGTGATATAATTGATTGGGGATTTAGAAATCGGGTTTTTCATTTGCTTATGTTTATCTAATTTGTAGGGTTTATTGTTTCTATAAGTATTGTAATGGGTTTATGCATTGTTTTACTGTAACATTGTGTTCCTGTAAACATGGTCGTGTTGTTCAGAGTGACAGAAGAAAATTGGGACTAATAAAGAAGAGGTGATGGTGTTTTTGGTGTTCGTCGGAGATGTTACCTGGTTTGGGTGATGGCGAGGGACGATGGATGATGGCGAGATATACTGGGTGATGTTGAGGGTCAAGCGGGTGGGTCAGGCAAGAGAAAAGCAGTGATTTCCGACGATTGTATTCTCACATGGGTCACTGAGAGGTTGCAACATGTTTGATTTTGAAATTGTTTTGGACTGATTTCTTTGAACTTGTCGGAGAAGACATATCAGATGGGGGCAGGGGAGGGTAGCTGTTGGTCGGAGATAACATATAAATGGCGGTGGTGATTGTTCGTGGAAGAAGAGAAAGGGAAAAGGGTGAATCGGAAAAGCTGCAGCTCGAATTGGAATAACGAGAGTCTTCTTTGTCCGAGAGAGAGAGAGAGAAGTGGGTGGGCCCCCTTTATATTAAATAATTATATATATTTTTCTTTTTTTTAAATGAGGCAAAACTTCATAAATGATCCCTGTAGTAGTGAAATGACCGAAATGCCCTTCACTTAACGGCCAAAAGTTAACGGAGTTAACGAAAAGGATCATTTGTTAAAAGTTTTGAAACCACAGGGACGATCCGTGAGGTTTTTTGAATTTAGGGATTAAACTTGATATTTTCGAAAATCACAGGGACCATTTTTGAAGTTTTGTCTTTTTAATATCTTTTTCAAAATAATATTTAACGATTATACAAATTTTAAAATATCCATATTGGTATATGATGATTTTAATTATCCTGATTTATCTTCTAAATTTAAAATATATTTCTATCCATTTCATAATTATCGTTAATGTTAATGTTTACGTATTTTTATTTAATATCTTTTTAATTAAGCCATATAATATACGGATATCTAACCTAATTTATTATATAACTAATACATTCTTGTTTAGATTTTTTTAATTTAGATATGTTTAAGAGAAGTTTATTGTGATATGTTTAGGGAATTCTCCTAACAAAAAAAAAACAATAACCAAATCAATATCTTTGGAAAGCCAAGGACACCCCTTGTCCTAGTATTTTAAATTAAGTTGTCTTGCTATTACATTCGTCGATCCCAATTCTCTTGAGCCTTGAGCACCACATTCACGACCTTTTTTCATTGTCACTTCATTATCCGCCCCTGACAGTGTAAAAGTAGCCTAAGTTTCTAAACTAACAATTTTGAATTTTCATTCTTAAAATAAACATCTACTCGATGTAAATTTTGGTCACCGTTTAAGTGACATACCTTGTTTGATTGATGCACATTTCTCACCAACCGACGGTGCTTTCTTCAACAATCCAGATTTATTCTAGAAAAAAAAAATAGATGTGTGTTAATATAACAATGTTTCTTTTTACAATCTATGCAATAAAATTATTATTTTAAAAACATTTATACAAGGTATAGTCATGTGCCATATTAGGACTAAGGGTTACCATAGTTTTGTAATGTCATGTCATTTTTTCTCTCATCCCACAAAATTGGTGGGTGGCATACCGTATCTTACCATATTTTTATTTAATTTTAGATATATGCAAATAATATATCAATATTATACTCTATTTATAGAGAATTAAAAAATAAAAACAATGAGTTTTGATATATTTTTTTATAATTTATATATATATATATATAATATATATATATATATATATATATATATAATATATATATATATGCGCACTTTTTTTAGGGGCTCGGTGCGGTGTTTACCGCATACCACATTATACTGCGGTACGCGGTATAGTGGACACCGTATAGTCTAAAATAAATACTACCTCATGACATGACTCAAGTTAAATGTTCATTTATGTAACAATGTATTAATTTTTACCCATTTATATATCAATGATCTGTTTGTTTGGGTCAATTTTAGGAATGATCTTTCATATAATCAAACTTGTTATAGGTAAAATATCGAATTATTTGTTTCTAAAATGAAAAGTCATGCCATATTTTGTATAAAAATCCATTATGTTATATAAATTTCAAAAATAGGTTGAACATTAATACATATGCCAATATTTTCCTGTAAATCTAGTCACAAGAAAATTTTAGGGTTGGATGAAAAAACATAACAACATACCTTTATTTATTTATTATAAGTGCATTATACTTTTATTATATGTTTGTTATATGATTTTATTTTCATTATATGTATATTACAACACCCTTTTTTATTTATTTGTTTATCATGGTGTTCTATATTTTTTTCTATTGTAACATTGTAATTTATAATTTTTACCTAGTTGTAACAGAATATCCTAATAAGACAAAATTAAAAGTACAATGTCATAGATTTTTTCAAATATAATACTTTAATAAAAAAAATTAAAAGTATCATATTTTAATAATAATAAAAAAAAGTAAAATATTAGTAAACTAACAAACTAAACATATTGCTATTTTTCTATTTAATTAGCCTAAAACTCTAGCTTAGACACCCACGTATTCCCATTTCATTTTAAATTTATTTGTTATAGCATTCTACTTTTACACTTTTTGATACAAAATTTAATTACAGTTAAAACAAAAATTACCTTGGAGGAGGAGGTGAAAACAGGAGAACTAGCAGTATCATCAATATCATTAAACCTTTTCTCTTTCTTTGATCTTGTCTTCTTCCTCTCTCCATATACTTTCTCTTGATCATCTTCATCAAACTTCTGTCTAGGTCCAGATGATGCATCAGAAACCATAGACAAGTCACCACCATCATCATCGGCTTCTTCTTCTTCTTCTCCATACTGCTTCACACCCATATACGACCATGAATTCTGGGACTGGTCAAAATACATGGTCCAGCCCGATTCACATTCAGAAGTCGACATGTTCATCTTTCTTTATGAACAAACTCTTCTTTCTGAAGCTATAGTATTTTGAGTACTTTATTTTTGTGGTTTGATTGCTTGGAGGAGACAGGGAGCTTGTTGAATGAACGTGGCTTCTGTGTTGTGGCATATATGAGAAGGAAAAACCAAATGAATCAGAGTCAAATCCGAGACTTTTTTTTTGTCTTTAGCTCTATCCTTTGGCGTTACTATTTTATAATGAACCAAAAGTGCCAGTTGGCTATTTCTGATCTTTTAGGAAGGAGGGGTATGAATTATTGGAGCGATGAGACAATATAGTGATGGTTGTATTACAAAAGACGTCCGTTAGAGTTTGATCCACGTTAGTGCAAGGGCCAGCTCAATGCCAACTCCTGGCCCTGGTGGTGGTCTATGGCTATCACCCTATAATCCTATATAATCCATACCCAACACATGTATATAACCATTACTAATTCTGATATTTGAATAGTAACTCATCCCTTTCTTATTATATATAACATGCAATAAATAACCATATACTTTCCTACTTTTATCCAACACACAAAATATATGATGTAAAAAAAAAGTAAAGAACACATGGGACCCATCGTTGGTCCAAACCCATCGTCGGTCAAGAAGTAAGCAACCAGAGCCCACAGCTTAACACACATTTGATTCTAAGATGATTAGAAATCGTTGTTGAGGGTTGGAGTCTTTTAACATCTACCCTTGCAAAAGTAATTTTAGTTTTAATACTATACTAGACACGTTATAGGAAAAGGTTATTTTGACATCCACCTAGTTTGGTTAATGTACACTCGTGTGGCCGGATTATGGATTACTGAAAGAATAAATTTTTACAGATAGTTTTATTTTAAAATCATTACTAAAACTATTTATTTCTCCAAAAACCTTTATATAAATCCTATGATTTCCAAAATCTATTAGAAATTTACTAGCTTTTGATCAAAAGTTGTAAAAAAAAATCGATTTTGAAGTATAATTTTAGTACCCATATATTTTTAAAAGTCCATATGTAAAATAAAATGGAAAAAAGTTATCATTATTATTACAATTTTCCCATTTCTAACAATATGTAGGGTTGGCAGACCCAAAATTTGGAACACACAACCTGGTCCTCTCTTTGTTCACGTGCATAGCCTTTGAAGTTTAGGCGTTTGAGTTCTCAACATGGACAAGCACCATTCGTTGTTGTTTTGTTATATATACTAGCTAGCTGCTATAATAGTTACTTTGTGCTATTCCTTCTCCATGCACTGTCATATCGATTTGCCACATGGATTGAATTGTGATCATACGTACAAAGCTTTTAGATTAAGTTATGAGCTCGATAAATATATACGAGCATGCAATAAGTTGGTCAATTGTTAACCATATTAATATATTATAACTAATTAAATCTGCTAAGGCAAAAATATATATGTCATCAAGAACCATAAGACCCTTATCAATTATAAGTTGGGTACTTTCATGAAGCCAATACATAGGTTTGATATAGCTACGAATGGGTCATATAATATGATGATAATAAATATATATGGTTACAATAGTCAGGACTTGTCTAATATAACATATGCTGAGAACAACGAGTAGGACAAATAAAGTGATATAAATTTACAACTCAGCAGATAATAATAATGAGTAGTACCATTATGTAGTATAGATCATGACATCATATAAGGCAACTAGGTAAGGCCGTTATCACAACCTGTTTTATAACACCACTCAAATTCAATAAATATCAATTTCACATAATTATTAATTAACAAAAAAATAGATTATCATAAAAAAAAATAATGAGGAAGCTCTAAAAATCTAGAAAGTGACTCGTAGCTCTCTATGCGTTACAAGTCACAAATCCCAAACCAGAATTTAATACAAAATAAATATCTAAATCAGGGGGCATTAAAGGGGATAAACATCAATATATTAGATAATAATCCTCGTATAACATCTATTATTACCAAAAAGTTTGTATAGGTGTTATCTTCTTTCCTTGAGGTTGAGGGTTCAAGTCTCATTAGAGACATAGATAAATTTAAATTTAAGATAGTTTAAAAGTAAAGTAGATTTGTAGTTCAAAAAAACATATATTATCAAATTAAAAAAACTCTCCCATATTCCTCTTATACTTAAACTTATCAATATAAAGCTCAAAAAAAAAAGTAGGCTTAAAAATCTAGTAATACATGAGACTCATAACCCAAGTCCGAAATATAGACTTTTAAAAGGATTTTAACATCAACATATACAATACATGGAAAAGTGTCACTACTAGAAACCTGACCTACAGCGATGGAATCAGCGACAGATTTTATCGCTAGCTAATTAGCGACGGTTTACTGAGGGATCACTGATGGAATGCATAAATATTTCAATCAATATAATTATAGAAGTTTAGAGATGTATTACCAAGGGATCAACGACAGATTTGTATGATTTTATCGACAAAAAGCAGTCCCTCGCTAAACCGTCGAAAAGTAAAATCTCTCAACCACGGAATAACGACGGATTGCAAAAAATTAGTGGCTTTTTTTTCCTGGCCCTCGCCAAACCTTTGCAGGAAAATCTACTCCTTTTTTTCATTCCTGGCTTTTCTTCCTTTACTCGTTCCCTCATTTTATTTTCATTCCCTCCGATTTATTCCCAAAGTGAACGATTTCCTACCAAAGCCCTATATGACCGTCAAATCTCTACTCTGTCCAGGAAATCGCCTCCACCACAGTCAACCTTCATCATCCCTCTTTGAAGCCTCTCAAAGGAAAACCTAATCTGAAATCACATCCTCGTTGGCTTTCTTCTCGGTTCGACTCCCTTCCTCGTTGACTCACTGCTTACTTCCATGCCAATGCCTTTCGATCTGTTGATTCACAACTACTCCAGACCGTACAACTGCTTAGCGGCAACAGCGGCGTCGATCACCTGATAAGATAGCGGTGGCGGTTCTGTTGGCGGTAGCTGGAACACAGTGGTGGTCATCCCATTCAAGCTCTTGTTTATACAAATTTGATTAACCTTGAGGTAATTTTGAACTTTATGGATGATATGCATAAGTTTAGGTCATTGTATAGTATTGTGTTAGATTGATAGGATTAGCTATGAATTGATATTCTTGACAATTGATGAAGTTAATAGCATGTACCTAATTGAAAACAAGTAGCAATGTGTTGAAAATTACTCAATGAATCTAATCTCCTGGAAAGTGGATGAAGACTGTTCTTTTTGGGAAGAAGTCATCAAAAACTAATATCTCAAAAGTAAGTAAAAGTGTTAATTTATAGTTTACAGTTACACCTGTTACTAGTAAAACACATATACATGATGGTATCTTATTATTCTTGAAGGATGCTAGACAAAAATACCTCCATTACCCTCAACACACAATCAAATTATCTTGCTGTTGATTCTACTGTTATATCAACACCAGTGTGCCACGTCAGCAACATAAATGGAGAACAATCACAGTTAGAGAAGTGCTCCAGTGCCAACTTACTAAATGCTGCAAATGATGATGATTTAATCAGGCTAGAACAGGCTGCTACTAAGGCACAAGCAGCTTTCAGGGGATACTTGGTAAGGTTAATGCATATTACAAGAACATTGTAGGAAATAGCAATTTACTTCACTCCACTTACTAATATAGGAGCTTTCAAGCTTTCTTGTAATATTTCAGTTACACTTAATGATGTGAAAACTCGCAAACAGATATGCTATTCTTATTGTTCTCATTCTAGATAGATGATTATTGTTTAGTATATCAATACTTTGGCCTGCTATAATAATTCTTCTTTACTAATTCATCATCAGGTTCCTTTGAAGAAGGAAAATGGTCAGATATCAATGGTGCTTCTTTTCCAAAGTCAAGAAAGCATTGCTGGAGTGGTAGTTATTGATGGTTTTGTAATTTTGTTGGATAATAAACCTCTTACTTGCTAGCTAGTGATCGAAACAAGTTGAATATACTTATTTGCCCTTTTTACAGATATCTGTAGACCCAATGCAAGGGAAGAAGGTTGAACATAAAGGCATTAAAATAGAACTCCTTGGTCAAATTGGTGAGTTTTCTACTTAATTTTAGGAGAAATTGTCATGCAAATCAATGTTAATAATAGTTTGGTATTTTATTTCTGTTTGTAGAAATTTATGGCAACTTCTATGACTTTACCTCTCTTGGTAAGTCCATCTGTTTGGAGGCTAACTTTTACATGTTCTTGATGAAATGATAACTTTTATGTTGTTTTTTCATTGATAATTGATAATTCAACATCATTATTCATCAGTAATTTACTATCTTACCCTTTGTTATGTAGTTCGTCAACTGGATATTCCTAGTGAAATATATGAAAAAAAGGTAAAATCTTCCCAACTGGTCAACAGATGGTTTAATAGCATCTGCCTTTAAATAAATGACCGATCTTCCTAACTGGTCAACAGATCTTCCCAGAAGCTCATTGTCAATTTTGTCAAGAACCGGGTCATTTTGGGTAAAAGAATGCCCAAAGGGAGCTCCACTTTCAACCATGTCAGAAAAGTGTTGGATTGTGAGATTTACAGGGTACTGTTTTGGGGGATTATCCCATTTGATGTAGTGCATGTCATGGTTGACAATCGTGTTCTGATAGTCTTTATGGTTACAGATGACTGTGTGAAAGTATCCTTCAGGGGATGACAAGAAGTTTGTGTAATACATAAGAAGAGTACAAGGAAGATTATCCAAGAAGAGAAACCCAAACGCAAAATTCAAGAAAGGGTCTAGTAAGAACAACCCAAGAAGAGCCTGTTGCAGAAATGGAACAGAAAAAAGGTAAAATCTTGTTGTATAAAATCATAAAAAAGGTAAAGAGGTATAGCAGAAGTACACATCCATGAACAACTTGAATGAAGAAGGCATGGATCGTTTCTCTTTGGCCCAGAAAACACCATATTTCTTTGAATGATATAAACCGGGATCAATTATGATTGGTCTTGCCCTTTGAAACCTGCAATTAATATAAGGTACGAAACTAGGATATCGATGAAAAAACAAAGGGTAAGATAGTAAATTATGCAATGAATTTGTTATATATGTATGTATGTATGTATGTTAGTATGTATGTATGATGTTGAATTATTCATCAGTAATTTACTATCTTACCCTTTGTTATGTTTTGTTGATTAATACACGTTGTTTCTCCTAGTGTCGTTATACAATGAATTTGTTATATATGTATGTATGTATGTATGTTAGTATGTATGTATGATGTTGGGATGCATTGGTATCAATTAACCTAAAAGTTAAACCAATTTCATCAGGAGTTGGAACAACAATTGGAGCTAGAGTTTACATTCTTGTTGGAACAGTTGCTAAAGAGCAAACAGGGCCTGCAATCACAATATCATTCCTCATATCCGGAATAGCAGCTGGACTTTCAGCATTATGTTATGCAGAACTCGCATGTCGTTGCCCATCTGCAGGGAGTGCATATCACTATTCTTACTTATGTGTTGGAGAAGGGTAATCTCGTAATTTCTCCTAACAATTCTCTTATTCATATAATCATATTTTCTTTCTCCAAATCAATATTCTATCCCCTTCAACTTCCAGTGTTGTTTGGTTGATTGGTGGAGCAGCAGTAGCCTATGGAATATCCCCAAATATGGTGCACTTCATCTCCTTCTTCTTTCAACCTAATTTATAATTTCAATTTTCTTTTTCTTTTTCGAATTATAATTTCAATTTTAAACAGGCTGTGTTTTTTAGAGGTCCAGATAAGCTTCCTGCTTTCTTAAGTCGACCCACCATTCTAGGAATTGTAGTTGATCATTGTGCTGCTGTTTTAGGCTTCATTATAACCGGACTACTTTGCACTGGAATCAAAGAGTTATTTTAGTCCTTTCAATTAATGACTTATTCTTATAGCACATATTCTTAAATTTTATTATACTAATAAAATGAATACTTTTAGAGTTCATTGGCTCAAGGCATAATCACAACAATAAACGTTGTAGACTTGCTTTTCATCATAGTAGTTGGTGGATACATAAGTTTCAAGACTCAATGGGTGGGATATAAAGTTCCAGGCGGGTAATATGTTCATTTTTTTCACATGTGTTAAATTACCATTTTACCCTTGGCAACATGAAACATGTATCTGATTTTCAGGTATTTCCCGTATGGAGTTAATGGAGTACTTGTTGGATCTGCAACCGTTTTTTTCTCATATGTTGGTTTTGATGCAGTAACCAGCATAGCAGAAGAGGTAACACTAGTGATTGTGATTGTTATTTCTAAAGGGTATAATTGTAATTTTCATATTGTTTATATTACAGGTGAAGAATCCTCAGAGAGATTTACCTATTGGGATTGGGGTATCATTGTTTACATGCTGTGTTTTGTATATGCTTGTATCTGCTGTTGTGATTGGTTTGTTGCCATGTTCCCAATTAGACCCTGATACCCCTATCGCCTCTGCTTTTGCTAGTTATGGAATGAATGGAGCAGTGTAAGCATACAACATTTCTTTCTGAAGGGTGTAATTGTAATTTCATCTTTATTTACATCAAAAACCATCATCATGATTTCAGATCTGTTACTGCACTCTGTGCTGCTTTTGGTTGTATCATTATTTGATGTTTTTTAGTATAACAAATTGATGATTGTAGTATTTTTTTTCTTTTAGAATCATAATAAAAAAATGATATTACAAGTTCGCAACGGATTAGTGACAACAAAAAATAATGCATGAATTTTGTGAGGGATTAGCTACGGAAAAAAAATCATGTCTAAAGTTTGTGACGGATCAGCGACGGAAAAAGAACAAAATTAATTTATGAATTTTGCGAGGGATTAGCTACGGAAAAAAACTGATCAGAGAAATTTGCGACAGAACAGTAACGGAATGTCTTTAACAAATTTTGTCGCTAATGTCCTGGGTAAATGTATTGAGTGACATTTAGCGACGGATATTATGTCGCTAAATTTGTCGCAAAAGAAAAACTGATCCGTCGCTAAAACCCTCGCTGAGTCATTAGCCACGTTTTAATTACCTATGGAGTGAATCTGTCATTGATCCATCGCAAACAACATTTAGCGACGGAATAGCGACGAATTCGTCCGTCTCTAAAACCCCTGTTTCTAGTAGTGTGTAAATGCTTCATTACATGCGAGAGTAAAACCTTATCGTGCATGCATGTATATCTACATCTATAGCGAGTTTCAGTAGGAGTGTTCGTTTGGATGGATCGGTTTGATCCGATCCAATTAAGTGAATCCAAATTGATTTCGGTTTTTAAAACATAGATCCAAATAGTCCAAACTAAATTCAAATCCGATCCAATTACAATTCGGTTAGATCGGTTTTTTATAATTCGGTTTTCAAAAACCGAAACATTTTAAAACGACATATAATTATAATATTATCAATCTTTACACAAGAAGAGAAAACAAATTATTTAGTTGTGATTTGAAATTTATAAACAATAACTAAGAATATATATTATAGTTAAATATTTTATAGATGAAAAACTTTTGAGAGAAAATGCATATTAATGATTTTTTATCGGGTGAAGCGTTTTGAACCTATTTGAAATAATAAATTACAAAATTAATAAATAACTATAGATATATATTATAAATAAATAAATAATAAATGTTTATTCGGTTTTTTTGGACTATTCGGTTTTTATTTTATAAACCAAAACCAATCCGAAATCCAAAATAATAATTCGGTTTTGTTGAAAACGAATCCAAAGATCCGAATATCCGAACCAAATAGTCTAATCCAAATTGTCCAATTGGACCATTCGGTTTTATCCAAATACTGAACAGCCCTAAGTTTCAGTGTACTCTCAAATCCATAAGTCATTTCCTACAATGACGGATACAGGATCAAAGTAAAGGGGTATCCCGACATAAAAAAATCGCGTAATACACAATAAAAAAAATCCGGAAAAAATTACACTACGAATTTTTTTTGAGGGCTATCCCGAGCTACCCCGGGATATATAGTAAATTCGTCATTGATTTCCTAAACTAAAAATAAGGGAGTGGTAACACTCCTAACACTTTGTTACATCACTTTTTTTAGTGTCACGTCATTTTTTTTGTCTTGGCATCTAATTATTAGCATTTCATAGGGAGTGGTGACACTCATACCTAATACCACTCCATTTTTTCTTTTTCAAATTTAATTAAATTATATTTTTTTAAAACACAAACAGTTAATATTAAATAAATTTTATTTTTTTAAACCACAAATAATTAATATCAAATAAATTATATTTTTTTAAAACACAAACATTTTATATTAAATTAAAAAAGTTACAATAAATTAAAACTTAAAATACCTAGAAACACGAGTTAATAGTTTAAACCACGACAAACATGACTTAATACTTAAAAACACGACTTAATACACAAAAAAACACACTTCATAAAAAAACACACTAAAGAAAAGTGTGTTTTAAATGTTAAGAGGGTAGTGTTAATTTATAGGGGTGGATTGAAATTTGAATTTTTGAAATTGGGTAAAGAAAGGTTTTTTTTAATTAAAAAAATGTGACATTTACATATGGAATCTAGTGGATCTGGTCAAACTCGTTGCAACCAATCACATTATCCCATTTTTTTCTCTCTTCTCTCATTAAGATGCTAGCGAGTCCACCGTAGCGAGCCCCCTAGCGAGTGTTAGGGACGGGTGTTCCATCTCCTTGGCGACCGTGTTTGGCGACTAGAATTCGTCCAGTCTAAGGAGTGGTCTATGAGTTTCACTACATTCTTACCAATAATTACTATACTTATGAAATATCCACCACTCCACATTATTAAATTTTTTTATTATTTATTTTTTAAAAACTCAATTTTAATAAAAATACGATATTTTTAAAAGAAAATTAAAATTCTATTAAACCAAATTAAAAGTACATTACTAAAATTGAAATTAAAAATTACACTAAAAACATTAAAAAAGACATAAAATTAAAAATAACTTTACGTTTAAAAACAAAAATTATATTATAACCTAAAAATAATAAATCCGTCCGTGTACTTCTCTTTCAACTTGCGTTGCAGCTTGTTGAAAAGTTCGAGGTGATCGAGTGGAAGATCCAGATGAGGCGACGTGTTTATCATTTTCAAGTCGTTGATTGCGGTTTTGTACTCTAATTTTTTTTTAAGAAAGTCAAGATGATCATCAAGTTTTTTTTAAAGCATTTGAACGGAATTCGGTTCTGGTTCAACTTTTTTTTTCCTTTGTCCCTTCTCGATGAAGATGCCGCCTTTTTCGCCTTGTCCCTTCCCATTGGGCGTCGAAGGTTGACCTCTTTCGGCTCATCGTTATCATCATCATCATCTTCATTGAGGTCAATTCCCAAACCCGCTTATGATTCTGAAGTCCTTGCTCGTTTGTTGGAACGGGTGGATTGTGTTTGCGAGTAACTAAGCCCACTTGGATTAAGGACCCATTTTGGACCGGCTAGCATAACATGTCAAGCTTTTTGATGACCAAATGTACACCAGTAACGATTTTGTATTCTTGAAGAGCGGTGATTAAAATGTCGAAATCATTACACCCGCTCCGACGCATGTTTGTGAGGTTAAGGTAGATTCCATTGAAACTTTTATAACTACTTCTTAACTCGCGCCATTTTCCATTGACATCATCGTAACTCGTAAGTCCGGTATTCACCTTTAAAAAATGAAAATTTTTCAAAATAATGTAATTAATTAATAAATAATATTTTTATAGTTAATAAATAAATGATATTTTTATGAAATATGTAATATTTTACCTTTTCCCATTTGCGAGTGGAAGTTTGATAGAATACAGTTCCAAAATGTCGTCCCGGTTTGGGCGTTTCCCGTAAGCTTATCGGTTGATATTGCAATCCAAGCTTTTGATGGCGTCACTTCCTCATTTTCATCCCATTTGACTTGACCCTTTTTTCCTTTGTCCCTTCATTGCCTTCTTAATGTTGCGGTTGAGTTTCCAACACCGTTTCGACATCATAGTGAGGAGATTGGGGTTGGGAAGGTAATTGTTGTGAAGGTGGTGGTTGGGAAGGTTGAGTTTGAAATTGTTGACATTATGATTGTTGGAATTGTTAGAATTTTTGGAAATGGTTTGGTGTTTGGAAAAGGTTTGATTGTTGGAAGTAGTTTTGTTGTTATCCTTGTTGGAAAAGGGGTGATTGTGGAATTAGTGAGTTTGTTAGAAGAAGCATATTCATGAAACCTCCCGATGGTGATTCGAAATTCGGATATTGGCGAGGTGTTGTGTTGAGTGCGAATGTGCTGATAGGTGAAGTGGGTGTGTTTGGGGTGTTTGGATTTTTATCCATTTTGGGATTGTAGAATAGAGATAAAGAAGTGAAAATATTGTGTGTTGTAGTGTCAAAATTTTATTGGTATTTACATATTTAATTTAGAGGGTTTAATAAAGTCAAATTTCAAAAAAGGTCATATGACCGTTTATATTTCTCTCTCATTTGTATCGCATAGTAGCAGCAACCACGATTGTTCACACTTACAATTAATGGGGGTGATATTTGTAATAAAGTAACGTGTGACTTCTTTGTCAAACTCATCACACGCGTAGGAATGTGCCGACATTCCGTTTAGCCTAAGGGTTTGTTTGATATTGAGCTGACTGGTCCGGTAAACACTTTTGGTTGACTCAGTCCGATCAGCCTGTTTGATATGTGTGACATCCCCAATTTCACGGTCAGAAAAGACCGATTTGTTTATGCTTTATTTGAAAATTAGAGTATCATTTTTAAATAAAATGTTGCGGAATTTGTTCCCAAAAATATGATAAAGATTTTATCAAAGCATTTCCGAAGAAATGTATTTCATTATATTAAAACTTTAGGATGTCATCATCAATATAGAAACATAAGCATAAACAGCCCTTACATTTATTTACACTAGTGATTTACATCTCCTTTAATCTCACAGTGTAATGTGTCTTCGTATCAATACTTGTGATACAAATAAACTGAGTGGGCCAGGTTGGGAAACCTGGTGGGTACATAGGGTTTTCAACCCACAATAATATAATTATTATGTTTAATCATCAAACAATCAACCTAATTACCCAACCCCATTATCTTCTTTATTCTTAAGGATCCACCTGAAGAATCATTTATCCTTCATTCATTCATTCCTAAGGATCTTCCTAAGGAAATGGGCACGAAGTCCATCGTTGTCAGGTTTATCTAACACACACTAAGTTCATAGTTGCCAGGGTTTTTAAATTACAATTGGTGAACACGTAGTTCAAAGGTTAAGCACAGCTGCCAATATTATCCTTTAGGCGCAGCTGCCAAGATATTTAGAGTACATCTAGTGAACACGTAGTTCAAAAACACCTACAGGTTGCGAGCCTGCTAGCGTTCCATTGGACTGTCTAGAATAGTTTGTGGTCGTCATCTATACTCCGCTAGATGACTGGATCATCGTAAACATCAAGGTATCTCATCATTTTATCACACATCAACTATTTCATCTACCCATGTTTTACCCAACATTTTCGTAGATATAAAATATATATACAGTTTAAATCATTTAAAACATGTATAAATCCAGCATAGATATCAATAACACAGATAATATGCACACATAGCACGTAATTT